TATATTGATATTTGAATAAACAAAATTTCAGAAATAAAGAATATTGCAAGGAGCAATCAAATTTGCACACTGTGTCGAAACACAGCATGACACATTGTTCGGCACATTAAGGCACACTTTGACAAGGAAGACACAAACAATATAATATTAAACGGCACCACTGTTGAGAGTTGACATTTTGCCAATCGTTTCTAAGGTTTACTACTCGGGTAAATACTTTGTTTACTCACAAACGAAACTAGTGAGAGAATGTCATACATAAAACTGGTGATACAAGGATTCAATCAAGAAGTTGTAAACGACACTGGTATTGGGGATCATTCGAAAAAATCTGTAAGAATTGTCTGAATCGCGAATCTCTTCAAACCTAGCAAAACTAAGTCCGACTCTTCCGAATCACGGCAAAAATCACAGCGGATCGTGTTTTCATCTAGAACAGCTTCTATCGGGCCCTCACTTCAGTCGAGTTCATCTATGTATACCATGGCCGGTCCAGAACGTCTTGTCGATACGGCAGTCAAGACGGTTGAAACGGGTTTCCTCTAGAGACGATTCGTTTTCGATTGAGGATGAAATCATTGTGAAAAATGCCCGATGGTTGCCTTTGATGATAAATTCGAACGGCCACACCAACAATTTTATCAATATCAAGCAAATGGATCCCAACTATACAACAAGGATGGCAGAACACCTACACTATGCTGTTATTCGTATGAAAATAATAGTACCATGCATCCTGCGAAGATCGGATTTAATTGTGGAACGATGAGCATCGGGCATCTATAGTTTGATGAATCTTCATATTCACTATTGGAAAAGTTCGCCCACCTTTGTCATCTGTGTGGAGCTGACTGGATTGGGCGGAATCTTCTCGAGTTCTATACAGATCTAAGGCGCCTGACAAAGCGCTTCCGCTGAATCCTGCGGTGGCTGACAATCCTATTTTCAACGTATGACAGTTCTTCAGGGGAAGGCATCATAATCAACGGTATGATAGACTTGGGTTATATCTTTGAAGACACGCACTTCTGAGTCGATCAGATGATTTAAAACTGGTTCGACGATGTTGCTCCAAGCGTGGGATTGAACTATGCTTGGTTTGATGGTTTGCAGGTCCTCTTCCACCTCCCGACCCGCTAACGATCTAATGAGAATGGAGGTGAATGTCTACCATGATCCATCAGAGGAATTGAGAATGTAAACAAAAGTACAAAAGTCATAACTTTCAGGGTTGCCAAACACCTTGATAAGCGAACTTTAATTGTCCTTGATAGGTACGTTCGGCAGAGCGCTTGGCACAGTTTTTGACACAACTAATAACTCGGCACGAATTAATGTGTGCAGAGTTGAACACCCTTTGAAATATTGCATACAATTCGACAAAACTTTCAATAAAAGTTTTGTGTTAAAACTCATTGAAAAATTGCGGAGTTAAAAAAAAAACAAATATTCCGATAAAGCTTTTCGTAATTACAGACACACACAAAATAAAATTCTAGAAATTGTGATCGTTACTTCATTAAGAAAATTTTCAGCCGGAAACAGATTCGCCTCTCGCAACTGGAACTTTATGTTCTATATTTTCAATCTATAGAAAAGATAAAGGGTGTCCACGATGAAATTGCCACACTATGAAATTGCTCTAACTTTTTAACCGTTGGGTAGAATTTAATAAAAAATTTGGGTGGATTTAGTTCATAGTGCATTATTTACATCCTGCAAGTTTTAAAGTCCTGTGATCAAAACTCGCGGAAATGGAGTCGAAAGAACAGCTCGTGCGTGATAAAATCTTGCGCATTCATCACGAGAACAAGGATCTCTCGCATCGTTCCATCGCTAAAACGTTGGGAATCGCGAATTCCACGGTGTCGCGAGTGATTAAGCGGTTCGAGGAACGGTTGACCACCGATCGGAAGCCCAGAAGTGAAGGAAAAAGTATTCCGTACAACACCAAAAATCACAACCGCGTAGTTGGGGCCTTCAACCGAAATCCGAACGCCTCCGTTAGGGATGTGGCTAAGAAGCTGCACCTAAGCCGAAGTTTTGTCCAGAAGGCCAAAACTAAGGCTGGGCTTCGAACGTTCAAGGTAAAAAAGGCCCCTAATCGCGACGAGAAGCAGAATAAGTCCGCCAAAACCCGTGCCAGGAAGTTGTACCTCAACATGCTGACGAAAGTTGAATGCTGCATCATGGACGACGAAACATATGTGAAGGCCGACTTCAAACAGATCCCCGGCAACCTGTTTTTCACGGCCAAGGATAAGTTCAGCGTTCCGGAGCATGTCCGCACTCAGAAGATGTCCAAATTTGCGAAGAAATTCCTGGTTTGGCAAGCCATCTGCACATGCAGGAAGCGGAGTGCACCTTTCGTGACCCAGGACACGATGAACGGACAGGTGTACATAAAAGAGTGCCTCCAGAAGCGGCTGCTTCCTCTCCTGAAGGCCCACAACGTCCCAACAATCTTCTGGCCGGATTTGGCCTCATGCCACTACTCCAAGGACATGCCACTACTCCAAGGACGTGCTCCAAGGACGTGCTGGGTTTACATGCAAAAAACGGTTGATTCACAGGTTGTGCAGAATCTTATGGCCGGGGTTCAGGCCAAGGTGGCATTTGCGTATGGACTGTAAATAAAATACGAGTAAAATGGTAAAATGAAGTTTAATAGTTATTTCTCAATCCCTGAAAATTTGATGGCAATCGGATGAAAACTCGAATTTTGCGAATCAATTTTGTGTGTGGCAATTTCATCGTGGACACCCTTTACAAATCACTTAACAAAAATTTTGTAGGATTTGGGAATTTTTCAAATAGACAAATTGCTTAGAAAGCAACCATTAGTTATTTTTCAAGATTCTAAACTATGAACAAAGTCCTTCTGAACTATGAATTAACTCAATGGAGATTTACCTAAAGCTGCACTAAGACCACAATAAAGAAATTTTACAGATTTGTTTACAGATTTTTGTCAGTCAGATACAGATTAAAAAGATTTTTTGCGATGAAAATACAGATTGAAAATCAAAAAAATGTGGCATCCTGACTGAGCTACTGAGTGAGTGCTCTGCTGTCAGTGACTCGTTTGCTTCCCAATCATTCAGACTCTCACGAGGCAATGAACGATGAGGCGGATAGCTGTTCATATTCATATGAAAATGACTCATTGAACTTGACTGTTTTGCGCACTGCCAGCTATTTTCAATAAACAGATCGATTAAAGAAGCTATTATCCAGCAATAAGTAGGGCAAACATGACAAGAAGCGGTTTTGTAGGAATGAGTTGAAGACTTTGAAATTGGTGAAGCGCACTTATATTAGGATCGGTGAACTTTGAGAGAAATCAGGAGGGATCTAACCTTTCATATACAGTTATACCTCGATATAACGTAACTTAATTTTATGCATCGCATGTTGGGTTTGGCGCTAGTCAGGAACTGGCCACTGGGTATCCGTTTTCTGACAACATTAGAAGGAGAAAAGGAGACAATCTAGTAAAAAGTAGGTAAAAGTAAACTGGACGCTGGGTATTTTTTTTCTTACCGTGTATGCCCAATATACAAAAAAAGCGACAAGTTGGATTGCTGTAACTATCGCGCGATCACACTGCTGAGCGCCACCTACAGGGTGCGTGACGAATTTTTGCAGTAAATTTCAAATAGTAATTTCTCATGCTTGTGCATCATGATTAAGATATATTTGGCAGCACTGGATAGCTTATACTGTTAGGTGTAAGATTTAAACAAACAATGTTGAGTAAACGTAAAGATGTCGAAACAAGAGAGCAATCTGTCAGCCGTTGTCGCTTTGTTGCGCGCCGGAGTATGCATGAAAGAAATAATTCGGTCGGTAAATGTGTCTGAAAGAACAGTGTATAATATTAAAAAAGGCTTGGGAAAGTGATAAGACGGAGCACCTGCTCATACTGCTAATAAAGCACAGAAATGGCTTACGGAAAATATTTCGTAAATTTGGGAGGAAGAAATTTGGCCCCCAAACAGTCCCGATATCAATCCGTTGGATTATTTTGTATAGGGCGTCGTCCAACGGGATACCAATAGAACCCCTCACACCACACTTAAGTCGCTAAAAGCTAAAATCAAGGCAGTGATGACATCTATGGATCGAAACATTTTAAAACGTGCATACTGCAGTTTCCGGAAGCGTCTAACTACAGTCGTCGAAAGGGAAGGCAATTTTTTTGAATAAATTTACTTACAACTTCCATATGTTGCGAAAGAAAATAAATCGCACAAAATTCATTGCTAGAATAACTAACTGGTGTATTTTTTCTCAAATATGCCATTTACTGCAAAAATTCGTCACGCACCCTGCACAAGTTACTCTCGCAAATTCTATACCGCCGTCTGTCACCATTTGCAAGTACGTGGGTGGACACGTCGTAAGAATGCCGCACGGCGAACTAGTGAAAATGGTTCTCGAAAGAAGAAGACAGAAGAAGAACAAGAAGAAGAGGCGCGCAGCGGACAAGGTGGATCAACAAAGTAGAAGGCGCCTTCGCTGACTAAGAGACTGGCGACGTGTGGCCATGGATCGAATAGAGTGGAGACGAGAGACGACTGCTTCGGACAGTAGAGGACATCAAGACCTTAGTCTGATTGGTAAGGTAAGGTAAGTTCATGAAAACTTAAGAACATGTTTTACCAACAATTGAAAAGGGCCAAACCTGTAATGCCAAAAAGCATTATAAGTTTTGCTTACATAAGCTAATAGGCCCTGTTGGTTTGAGAAATGTAAAACAAATCAATTGAAATAAAACTTCATTGAAGTTAAAACAGAACCGCAGTGATAAGCAAGTAGTTAGAAATTCATCACCCTCCCATATACCACGTAATCTCATTGACAGGGTATCAGCGATGATCTTCTGATCTGAACTGGCGATAAGTTATTTTGAACGTAAACAATCATCGTGGCGTTCGTTGGAAGTTGGCACGGTTATTTTAACGTTTCGTCATTGAATAAAAACAGAACATACTCACATGGTTACATTTGCAACGCGCGGGAAACATATTCGCTCAGCATTCGTCGTTGGTCGTCAAGTGGTCGCACATGCTGGATTCTTCTCTATTTTGCGGAGAAAATGTTCGTTTTACAGTTGAACTTATCATTTTAATGATAAATTTTCCTCCATTCATAGGTAACGTGTATCCACAAATATTAACTGCGCCAAATGCGCTCTAGATTTGGGACGAAGGCGCGATTCTACCACAACTAAAGGTGCAAAAGCTACGAAAGGTAAAGGAAATATTTTTATTATTCTCCAATTTTAACTAAGTTAACGTGTTATAACAGTAATCGATCAAAAATGCATGTTACCTCATTTACATTCGAAATCAGCATAAATTCCAGTAGTTTTGTTTTCGCTAAACTACTTTGCACAATGAATCGGTTGAGGTTCGCGTACTGCACTCTTAAATCAGTGTATACCTTGGCTTTGTTGAACACAAATATTCCGTTACGACCTCTTCGATGACACATGCAAAGAAACATAAGACTCGTTGTTTCACTAGCGATCGCATTCACGTGTGAGAGCGAGAATCATTGCGACATTTTTCGACAAAGATAAAAAAAAGAACCCTTCTGCAGCCGACCGACCATTGAGTCATCGTCGGAGCCATGTTTGAACAAATTGTGCTCTATCTAGGAAAAACCTCGTTCCACATCAAATCAACAAGGAGGTGTATTGTAGTTTATAAATACCTGTATTCGGCGGGTAAACAAAAACTGGCGGTACAATCGAACGATTGTGATTCCAATAGAAAATTATCCGAAGGATTACTGACAGCACGATCACGAATGAATTTTGTATTTGAAGATCGATCCGCTTGATTGGGTGGCATCGCGATTACTGGAAATTGAATTACGTTCACGGGACTCTTTTATAGACAACCGCAAGAATAGGGTCAGGTACCTGGAATGTAAAATGGTAGAGATGATTGTAAATAGCTAAATATGCTAATTAATTATTTGAGTAAACAAATCATATACATTGATCAGCTAATAGTGAATTACCTAAATCATAAATTTTAACACAACGCAAATGTAGACGTTAATTATGATCATAAAAAGATAAGAATCATAATTTAAATTCCACCATAAAACTGCCATCCAAAATTTTGGCTCCCTAGGAAAGAAAAGTTCCTATTCTTAGTGAAAAAAACAACAATAAACTTTTATGAATCATGTTTATTATATACTCTGGAATAAATTATGTCGAATAATCGCTGAGTCATTACTAAGCTGTGGCACGTCTAATAACTCATGCCTATACCATTCTAAAATGCATGAAAACATCCGATGGAATACCGTATTTACATAACTCGTTGCACATTTTTGAGTCGTCCTTTCTTTCGAGCGATGCTTGTGGGGTACACAAGCAAAATATTCGATCCGATTTAAATAACTCGCCACTGGCAGATAAGGCGGGGAACGCTAATGATAACGGAGGAGGACACACGCTGAACGGAAGCATAGCTAATCAGTTTTTTTTCGCTGCTGGCAAATAACGGTGTTAGAGATTAGAAGAAAAACACTCATCTATAAATTTGCGCATCAGTCGATGGTGGGCAGTTAGAATGGCCCGAGCTGCCAGCCAGAAGGGATGGGCGCCGTATCAGACGCTCTTCCGACAATGTCTACGTTGTCAGTCGCAGCAAATTAACTGACTGGATTTATTGAAGATAGTGCCCTGCAAGTTGCGTGCCACCTTCTAGCGAAACGTAGAACAGTGCGAATTTAAGTGTTGAATTGCCCGAGCAAAGCTGAAGATCAAATTGAAATCAAAATTTGCTGTTATGATGTAACTTATTTTGAATACTCCAGTTGATCTCATTTTGGTTGAATTAACGGTTAACACAGCAAAAATGAGAGCAAAATTTTACACTGTTGAAGCAAGCGGAAAACTAATCCTGCTTTCAATGAAATCAATTTGATTACTGATTTTGAATTCATAATGTTTAACTGAATACGGGCCTGGAGTAAATGGTTACAGTTCATGTTTCTCAAGCTGAAAGACTTGGGCTCCAATCTCACCCCGGGCAAGTCACGAATGACCTAAAATGTGTCAAACAAATCAAATAAACAATAATCATAAGTTCAATGACAGATGAATTTCAATTAAATTTTAAACAAGACGTAAACAGCAGAACTTCAAGTTAAGTTGCTTTCATTTAAAAAGTCTTGACTGCATAATGAAAGCACAATATGATATCAGACTTATGTCGCAACATTTGAAATCAAAATGAGTTTTCATTATGATAGGAACTGCACACTTTTATATCGATTTGCTTTCATTTTGTTAACCGAGGTGGCCCCCATCGCTATTTCTCGGCTGTTCTTCAACTACCCTAGCAGCACACAAGGCTGTCACAAAACGGTTGTAGCAACTCCTATGCGACTTATTCCGGTCACAATCAAGTTACCGCAACTTTTCGATACGGAAGTGTGTTGGTTGGGTAGTTTATGGTTGCCATTAATCACATACAAAAAATCAACGCAATGGGTTGAAGGACAACCGAGAAATAGTGGTGGGTGAAGGCGTAAGGTCTTGATACAGTTGACATTCTTACCTTTGATGTTTCTTATTGTCGGGCCCCGCTATTATTTAGAGCACCCTCCAAAGACGCGCCATTTTGTCAGTCAACATTGGATTCCTTACCAACAAAATTAAGCAATGACACCATGCATTCAGAACCCTAGTATTAACCACCTCAAACTAAAGAACAACGAATAGAAGATTAGCAATCACATAGATGCAGACTAACTAACTCATTTTTTCCTTGTTTCAAGATTGTCCTCAAGCCGGCGCCGGTGGTGTAGTGGTAAGCGTGACTGCTTTCTAACACTCCAATGGGTCTGGGTTCAATCCCACCCGAGGTCGGTGGGATTTTTCTGAGGCATAAAAATCTCTGGTCATGTCTTCCTTCGGAAGGGAAGTAAAGCCGTTGGTCCCGGCCCATGTGTGTTGTGAATGGGTGCGATATCCTACGCAGGTGTGGAAGCTGCCTTCCTGCACATTCGATTGTCATCAATGGATGGCAATCGATGTCCGTCGGTGATTGGCACTAGATTGTGGAACAGAGACCGACATTAAATAAAGGAAAGAAGAAGATTGTCCTCGGTGGTCAAAGCCGAGGCTTGTCACTATCAACAAGGCATAAAAAGTAACAAGGACAAGTGTTCCTTTGATTACTGAAAAATATTGTTCCCCTAGTTTGAAGTAGTCAGGACTATCGGTGGTAGATCTTACATCCCGTAACGTACCACGAAAAGGTGATCTACCCACGTTACGGGGCAAAATGGTACATATCCACTAGAGTAAATTTTACATGAGACACTAATTTTCAAAATACTCTAATACAGCCATTCCATAGCAAAACGATATTGTGGTTCTCAGAATTTCGTAAAAAATTGTAGTTTTGTTCCTTATCGCAAAATATAAGACCCGTATTTTTTATGTTATCATTAGGGTGACCATTTCCATGTTAGGGTGGTTCAAAAATCGTTTTTTTTTTGTCAAAAATGACTTTTTTCAACAATTTATAACTTTTTAACCACTGGGCAGATTTTAAAAATCAGGAACGACGTCACGGAGAAGCGAACCACAAGGGCTGATCCTGGGCACTCTTTCAGTGATATTTCATATTAGCTGAACCTGCTCTGGATGATCAAAATGTGAAAATTACAAAAAGATAACAGATACAGGACTACAGGAAATTCTCCCTGTAGAAAAGGAATTACTAGGAATCGGGATGTATTCAAGAAGAGGCAACATGTTAATTCGTTGAATAGTACCAGGTGGATATCATCCTGATTCAAGCGAGAAAGGTGGATTATGAAAGTACCAGTAGCGCCATGTAATTTCATTCTGTTGACATTACTCATGGATTCATTTGGTGAGTTCGTTCCTACTTATTAACACTTGTGATTATGATGGTCAACAGTGTTGAATGGTCACAAACAACTGCAGAATCTGGTGAGAGCTTACCATTTATTTAATTTAAATATTTGTACAGTAGTCGTTTGATTTAGGCACGGTTAGATTTTAGCAACAAAATCACAAAACCGTTCGCTTTTGGCACGGGTTTTAATTTTGGCAACGTGCCAACATTGAACAGAATTTGAGAATAGTGTGTTTTTGCTCCTTGTGATTACAACTTTTAATAAAATATTTATTATTAGTAACGTCTATGTCATAGCGATGCCTCGCAGTGGTCCGAAGTCAACAGAATCATAAATTGAATTTCAAAATAAGACCGTCCGATTTTGGCAACACTAAATTTTCAGACTTGCTGCTAAAATTAAACGGGTACAATTTACAGTATGCAAAAAAAAAAGTTTATCCAGCCCCTACCAATTTACAATTTTTTTTTGTTTTTCTGGTGAAAATCAGTTTAATTTTATGATTCCATTCCAATTCCATGATTCATCAATTTATGTTTATTTATCACATTGCCATTAAAAATAAGGCGTTTATATCTTTTCTTGAGATTTCCAGTGATAAATTATAAAATAAGGTAAAAAATTACGCAAAAAAAGTTTATCCACCTCCAAACGGATACTACGATTTAAGTGTATTTTACAGAGTTTTAGTGCGTTCTCGAATGTAAACAGTGTGTCCAGCTGTCATTTAGTGCTCTTAAAGTTTTCGTGCTAAAAATTTCAGATTCGTGTTCAAAATTATTTAAAATATTTGTTGCAAAATGCCCAAAAAAGCACAAATTTCGATCAGTATCCGAAATTTGATTATTGATCATCACAAAATTGGCAAAAGCTACAGTGATATTGCCGATATTGTCCAGCTTCACAAAGATACGGTCGCTAGAATTGTGCAGATGTACAAAAAGCGTGGTTCTATCTCACCAGCTAAGCGATCGGGGCGTCCTTCAAAGACAACTGGCCGAATTGACAGAGCTATCGTGAAGAAGGCGTTGCTGGACCGGGGAGCGAATTTTCCATTCAACTGACATCACAATCCGTACGAAATCATCTTTATAAGAAAGGTCTTAAGGGCAGATCACCTTATTCCAGTCATCACTGGTCCATGAAATGTGGTCCTGGGCCCACTTCAATCTTTTTTGATATTTTTTGCGGACAACCATGGCTTTTTAAGAGCTACTCTGCCCTTAAGACCTTTCTTATGAAGACAATTTCGTACGGATTGTGATGTCAGTTGAATGGAAAACTTGCTTTCAATCTGTTTTCTGAATCATCTTGTCCCTTAAATGCTGCACCGCAGGCCTGGCCGTTTTGATATGTGTGACGCATCTTCGATGTGAAACATATATCAAATAGACAAGAAAAATGATGTAGGTATATATATCATTTTCCAGGATGCTTTCAAGAACTGGCTGTGTTGGTGTTAGATCAGATTAGATTAGATTAGACTGGGCAGATTTAAAAAAAAAATCAAAATATCAAATGAAAAATAATTAATAGTTTTTAGAACTAAGAATGATATTGAGATTTTGTATTGAAAAACATTGATTGTGTTTGTTTTAAATGGTTTTCATGATTTAAATATTTTTTAAATATTTTTCCTTGAAAATTTAGGTTTTTTACACATTATATCACAGAATCAGCGATGGGTTTTTTTTTCGTTTTTGAGTTATATTTGTTTGAAATTATCAACTTTTGGGGTTTCGCTCAATACTCCTATGCGACTAGACTACCATGCGTCGTGACTAGAGAAGGTCTAGTATAAGAGAGGAGCGGACTGGCTGGTTTTGAGCCAAACGAACTGTCAAAGCCAGAGCCAATCTAGCAGCGCCTATCTTGATTGCATTGGCAGTGTTGCTAGAAACCACCTAGGCATAGGTTGCCAAGGCAGTTTGTTTTGAATCCGCTCCTCTCTTATACTATACCATGTTACAGTCACTATAAATCGATGGAGACGAATGGTAGTCAAGTCGCATAGTGAGCGAAAATAGTTACAGCTATTAAAAGATCGATGTTTTGAATTAAATTTCAAACATCATTTTTTCTGCCAATACCGCCGGTAGTGTTGGCAAAATCAGCAATCAATTGATGAAGTAATGAAATTGGGTTGTTAGCAATGCTCAAATAAAACAGCAAAAAAGGTTATCTTCCATTTAATTCCACTTAATTAATATGGTATCCATGACAAATACGTATTTAGACTACAATGTGCAGTCTTCATCAGTGTCATTCCCACTAAAGAACTTATCAACATCTAACCCCCTTAAGACTCATCCCTAGGTAAAAAAGAGTCAAGATCACAGGTATAAAAATGAAACTACAATGTGTTGAATCGGAACCTACCTAACTAATAAAAACCAAAGATTTAAGTAAACTCTATACAACTCTCCAATAAGGAAAATCCCTAGGCTTGGTAGCCATCATAATGAAGTAATGAAATTGGATTGTTAGCGGAATGCTCAAATAAAACAGCAAAAAAGGTTATCTTCCATTTAATTCCACTTAATTCATTTGCTATCCATGACGTTTTTTTAGAAAGAGAAAGTATAGTTTGCTATCTCTTTTTACTCTTCACCGATGGCAGACACGAAGTAACTGCTGCCAGCCGTTATGGAAGCTTCGGTTGCGTTTGGGTGTAAAGCAAAAATCATGAAACTCAATATCACCCGAGATCTCACCACAGTTTGTTGAGATTTGTAGCTGGTGAGTTTTGTTAGCTTGATATTCGGAGCTGCGATATCACAGCTTGCAAAATCAACCGCAGTTGTTGGCTTGTTGATTTTTGTCTACGAAAATCAAGCGTGATCTTGGGCGTTGGTGAGATCGGATTATTTGATATTTTCCCAACACTGACTGCCGGTGTACTAATGAAAGTTAGATTCCAAACTAAAATAATTTCGGAGTTTCTTATCTTATCGATTTGGTTAGTTCAGATGAATTAATTAAAAAAAAAGAATACTGTATGTATATTGAAATCCCAAACCATTATGGCAACCTTCATTGATTATGTTTGACTGTCTTAAATTTTCTAAATACCGAAGTATGATAGCATCATTGGAATTTCGAGAACTTATCTTTTTACTTTAGGCAAAGTGCTCGGCGCAAATATCAGCTATAGTCGGAACGTCAAGTGTCAACGTGGTTTGGGTACAGCCCCATAGAGATATCCAAAATTGCCCGTACTGCTGAATGGGCTAGTTTTTGAAACACTGTGGATCGATAGAATTATGAAATCGGATAACGTTTTCAACATTATTATGAAAACGTAACTTGTCGTGCTATGATGGCAATGAAACACAAAGTTAGGCAGGCCAAATATGACACAATCTTAACCTTTTTTTTATTGTAGTCACTTTAACACTCTTGGGTCATTCGTGACTTGTCCGAAGGTGAGATTTGAACTCGTGACTTTGGCGTGAGAGGTATGGATGTTAACCACTACGCCGGGGTCGCCCCCTGACACGAAATTTATTTTTAATAGATATTTATTTAATTATTAATTTATTGTTTCAATGATTCATCTGAAATATGGTTGTCTTAATGAATTAAAGAAGTATAATTAAAACAAAAACAGGACACGTGCCAATTCAGGACAGCCTTCCAATAAAAACAGATAACGGCACATTAAAGTTAAACAATGCATAGACGTCATTAAACGCATTAGCGACGGCACATTCAACTCATATCGCCGATTACTAGCTACGAGATGTACAAAATTACGCTGTCTAATCACTCTCTCAGGTGCGTAAAAGAAAAGCTACCGAAGTAATTCGGGGGCGGGGCTTATCACGGATGTCACTTCACGGTGGAAACTTGTCACTTGTCGTCACGGTGAAGTGATTCCTATTTGATTTGTACGGTAATCACGGCTCTTATTCTGAGGATCACTTGCTTATCACCGTGTAGTGACACCCGTAATAAGGCCCGGAATCAATCTGGTTTGCTGGTAATGATTTGAGTAACAAACACAGCTTGCGCGTTCCGTCTTCTTTGATCCAAGGTGTCAATTCCAAGCAGACGACAGCGATCCACGTAAGACGGCAAGTTAGCCATGTCACGCCAGGGCAGATGACGAAGCGCGTAGCGAACAAACTTTCTCTGTACACTCTCAAATCTGGCTATCCAGCATGCTTGGTAAAGGGCACCAGACGACAGCACTATACTCTAAGATTGAACGTACTAACGAACAATACAGCGCCCGCAGGCAAAGCAGATTGCGAAAGTCTTAGGATATTTTGAACATAAAGCCATGCTGCCGTTAGCTTTAGTCAGGATGTCATTGTAGTGCGGTTTGAAGGTCAATTCACAGTCGAGTGTTACTCTCAAATCTTTGACCTGGCTAATCCTCTCTAACGTTTGCCCGGAAATGGAATAATCAAATATTATCGGGTTTTGTTGGCGGTGAAATTATATCACATTGCACTTGTTGATGCTGAGCGTCAAGAAGTTACGATCCACAGTCAACTGCAACTCCTTACAATCTGCGATGCAATTGATAACCACATACATTTTGACATCGTCAGCGTAGATTAACCGGCATCCAGGTGGCAGTAGACGCGAAAGCTCGTTGATGAAAAGCGAAAACAGAAAGAGGTCCCAGATTACTTCCTTGGGGAAAGTCGGAAACGTTAGTGAACACTTCAGAACGAGAAGCTTCAATCTTAACGCAAAGCGAACGGTAAGATTTGAACCACGAGACGAAGGATCCAGACACTCCGAGTTTCTCAAGCTTGCTCAAAAGAATGTTGAGGTCTACTCGGACAAATGCAGCCTTGAGATCAGCGTAAACAACGTTGATTTGTCCGCGTCCATGGTACGAACGCAGAGCGGCACGAATTCGGTCAAATCGGTTGTAACTGACCGTTTTGGGTGGAATCCATGCTGAGCCATGGAGATGTAGATTTTAAAAGAGCTGAAGAGCGCCTTATTGATGCTGATCTCGAATACTTTGGAGCAGCAACATAGTGATGTGATGCCTCTGTAATTCTGGACATTCCTTTTTTCGCCTTTCTTGTGGACGGGGAACATATACGAAAATTTCAACGCCTCAGGAAATTTACGCTCCTGTAGTGACAGATTTAATAACATCACCAAGGGAGTGAGCAACGACTCCGAACACAGCTTCAGAACGGACGCAGGAATGCCACCTGGCCCGGCAGCAAACGAGAGTTTCATCCTTTGAAGAGTTAGATTGACGGTATGTTCACTGATGTGAAATGGACGGAGCTCAAATGCATCTGTTGGAGCATCGCTTATAGCAATCGAGATCTTGATTTGGTGAGGCCGAAGATTCATTGCACGAACTCATAAAATGTTGAGCAAAAAGGCGACATTTCTCCGGTCCAGATTTAGCGGTTTGCTCTCCGAGATGAACAATGGCAAACCGACTTCGTTCTTTTTAGAGTTTACAAACGACCAGAAACGCTTTGGATTTCTGCGAAGAGATGATTGCGTACATATCGTCGATACAGGAGTCTGTTGTATTTCCCATAGTCGTTACTTGTGCGGTTGAACTCCTGCTTCGTAATATGCGAACGATTTTGGCAGTAGTATCTTCGTAGCGATTTGGCCCTATACCGTTTCATTCGACGCAAGTGGTCGTTAGACCACGGTGGCTTTGGTGCGAGGCGGGCAAAAGGTACAAATTCAGCCATGATATCCCAAATCATTTGATTGGAATATTCAACGGCATCGTCAACACATCCAGCTAATTCTAATGGTCGCCAGTCGATACCGGAAATAGCAGCACTAATCGCAACACAGTCGGCTCGACGAAAATCCAGTGTACGATTATTTTCGGAACAATCCTCAAAGACGATTGGCGCTGGGAGGTTCATCAGGACGTCTAAATCAGGGTGGTCTGCATCAAGAGAGATGAGACGTTCTATGGCTTCCGAAACGGTGCATGCCAGAGTTGCAGCTTCGTTAGACAGAACAAGGTCTAGAAAGCGAGCGATACACCATTGATCTGCGTTGAACTAGCAGTCGATAGAACCGATTGAGGCTCAACCTGGAAAGATCCATCGTACGAATTACTCCACCGGAGCAAAGGCTGGTTATAATCTCCGAGCTGCAGAGCATAGTCATTGAATTCCAAATTGGAAACAATAACGGGAGGACAATAGCTGTGGCTAGTAAGGTTGCTTTCTTCTGCAATAAAGACCATTTGGTAGATCTTACACCATACACGTTGGTAACCAATGTGGCACGTGCATCCTTGACATAGATTACTTTGGAGCTGATACTCGTAATGGTTAATTTATTTTTACCATTTTATCTGTTGTGGGTTGATTTCCGATAAAGGTATAATCCGTGCGAGTGCTGATAAAAACTCAGAATATATAAACAAGTCTGGAACAGCAAGTTTGGACATTTCGGATCAAGCATAACTTCCGGCCGTTACATTTCGTTACTTTTATTACCTTTTTTTATTAATGTTTTACGAAGATTTTTTTCTGTTTGTAGTTCTTTTTTTTTTCTTTTATAGATTTTTCCGCTAACATATGGTTTGAGTTTGTTTGTTTTCTTTTCTGATTTGTTCATAATAATATTGGGTTATCTTTTCCATTATTTACTTGTTCTTCTCATTATCCACTAGCTTTTGCTGTATTTCATGGTTAGAAATCTACGCCTTGTTTTTATTTAATCAAACAGTTGTGGCGATTTCTGAGTAGCTTATCTCCCCTTTATTTAAGATAGTATGTATGTTCATTGTCACTGACCCGATGGTAGTTTACCTCTAACATTATGTGTATGTATGTGTTTTTGCCTTTTAAGAAGACTTCAACTCAGAACTGTGTATCGGATAGCTTACGCGTTATGCTATCCGGAGCCTTTTTTGCTTGCGTCCTTCATAGAATCCAGCTGTGGTGTCCTTGATCTTACTGCTATCTAACGAGAGTATTACAAAGGTCACTCCCGGAGATGTAACATCGTAGACAAACACCCAGCTCAGTTAAAGGGTTAGGTTTATTCAGATTTGCTAGTTCGTTATTTCTTGGGGGAGTTTGTTTGTTAGTTATTTTTTTGTACTTAGGTACTACGTTTTACTTTATCATATTGGTATGGTTATGCCTTTCTCCCTATATCACACTCACGTGATGGATCAGTGGAACTAAAACTGCTTGGAACGAAATAGGAACCTAGCCACAGCGTAAAATTGAGACATGTCTGGTTCGAGATGCTTCTTTTGATTGATCCAAATATTGATACTATTGAATACATTTCATCTAGGCTTTTGCTCCATAAATTCACAAAGGATTTATACCGAAAATAGAATGATGTTCTTTATATTATCAATATTTGAACTTTTTTCGTGTTGCGTCTTTGAAATTGGGAACAACTGAAACGCCTCCGTTATGTGGATCGTATTTGAGCAGGTGCAGTTGCTCAACTGTATTCCCACACATCTCGATTGTTGTACGTATAAAAAGACCTCTCTGGCTGACGAGTCGTTTCAGACGAGTGAAATCTTCAACCCTATCAAGTTGGAGTATTTACCACGGTATTTACGTCAAAGCGTTGATCGGTTGAAGGAAATCTTCACCCAGTTAAGAATTGCAATATTGTTGTAAATTTAGCAAACTCGTCGTCATCATTGGCGAAGCTAGGAAGCGTGTCAAGTAAATTTCGATGACGGCTTGAAAATAAACTTCTGATACCACCGAAAAACAAGCACGTTACTGCGCTCTAGATATGAATGCGATGTTATTAGCTGATAAACAAGCATGCACACATCAGATGCAGCGAATCATACAGAAGCCTTTCGCCTTGATTTTGGTGCAACCTATGTACATTTTCGTGAGTACAACTGTTGCGTATATTTACAAAAGCTATGCATATAATTTGCTTCAGATAGGTTTTCATAATTCATCGACATAACAACATACGAAAGCGTTCCATAGAATTGCATTTAACAATCGTTCAACTACTTTACGGCTTCATCTAGAATGGCCAAAACTTTAGTAAATTTTAATTTTGCTGATCCTACTCTTCAAAAAAGCTACCTTGATTGTATTTACAGCCGTTCGCTGGGAAAAGAAAAGCGACAGCGCTTCCGAAAACTTTCTTCCAATGATGATTGCAAAAATAAAATATACGAATAAATAAGCCTATAGAAAAAAAACATAAATCTCACCGATACCGAGTGGGAGTTGTAGATGGGCTTCTCTTCGAGTTCGGTATTCATTTTCCATTCAAACATTCGAGCTCACGATCACGCCTTATTCCGCACTCATTCATCCCGTTCAGCAACCGCAGTTCATTCGTCACCCGCGAACGCGTGGCATGCGTTCCATTCTTCTTATCTTTCTTATTCTGCTTACATAGATGATAACGATGATTCAGACCGCCCACGCAGGAGCAATAGCAGCAGTCCCAGAAGTATCTAGTCAGAAGATTTTCGACAGCCGTCTCCTGAGCGTCTGCAGGGCGCTGGTTCAGGACAGCTCATCGGTCGCGTAGATGTAACCCTGCTGCTGGAGGATGTACAGCCGCTTCTCGACGGCGTCTTTGTCTGCGAGAAGATGGAGAGAACCAGTTGATTATCAGTAATCAGGTACAAACATTGCGTTCCTCGAATTACAGTACGAGGTGTATGATGATGGAATGCAAACTTACATTTCGATAGGAGCATCTTGTCCTGGGGGTGACTGCACTTCTGCGCCAGCGAGTGAAGCAGAATCTGTGCCGACTGGTACCGGGTGAAGCAATCCTCCGGGTTACCGAACAGCTCGTCCAGGGCGGCCGATTGGCACTGAAGGGGAAGGAAAGAAGAGCATACGGTGTATTATGAAACAATTGTTCTTCGTTATCTATTCAATTGGGTACTTAGTTTAAAAAAAAAAACAAGTAATTGAATCTTATAAACAGTATCCTCTGGTACTTTAAGGACTTACAGTTAGAGAAGATACAAACTGACCATTCAATCAACTTACCATATTCATTTGCAACTATAAACATAATTTGTTTCCTTTTTTTGGCATCAAAATATCAACTTTTTTTCTTTGTTTGCTAGATTTTTTACCACAATGGCTAGTTCATCTCGAGATATCGTGAAGAATTGCTTGAGTATCTAAACACATTTTCATACGGGCATAAATTTTCCACGCGTTTTTAAATTAAGTCATCAATTTGTTCAAGGAATATTGCTGCAAAGGATCTATTTTTTCTATTCAACATGTAGTTCACCGATAGACGCATAACTGTCCCCTGTTATAAGGAAAGAACATAGAACAGTTATACGCCCATCGACAGCCTAGAAAGATCTTAATATGTATCCCTTAAACACGCTCACATGTCTACTGCCCTTGGCCTAAAATATATTTAAGGCCACCGACCTACAAGGTCTTAAAGACATTAAACCTGTATACCATTCAGAGTTGACCCATGGGTCCCATGGGACCTGGACCTGTACGCCTAGATGTTCACCAAAGAGCTTCTGAAATTGACCCATACCGGCCTGTGTATTTTGTAAGCTATCAAGTTTAGCCTAAGTAGATCGGGAAAAGGTGTACCCTTAAGGGTGTACGCAAGACACATCAAGTGTTCGCCAAAAAATATTCCATAAAACGGAAAAGTTCCAATGTCTGTCGAAAGTATTTCATGTTTTCATTGGAATTTGGTTGTGGTGCAGGGAGTATTGCTGATAAGTTCTTTACTTATTGATTATTTAGCTTCCGAAACGAATTTGGTAAGGTTGATCAACAATGTTTATTCTCAATATTTAACATCTTCAATAAGTATTATAGATCACTTTGGAACTAAGTGATGGCTATAGAACGGATCTCTCTCCCTTATTTGGTAGTCATTACTTGGAATGACTACCAAATTAGAGGGTGTTGTTTTGCCCACAAAACAGCTGTCATAAGATTATCAATCTCTTAAGCAATTAATAACTTTTTAAATTGACGATTGACTGGAAAACGATGTACTGCGAAGTAGTAGCTGAGAAAATTTCCCATAAGAAAAGCTTTAAAACTTTTTAGAAGTGCAAATGTAAAAAAGCTAGAAGGCTAGATTGGTTAACCCATAGTGATTCCATATAAATTACAAACGGTTTGTATCAAGTTCAAGTCAGTTTCTTACCAAAAGAGTTGAAATTTTGGGAGGCTAATCAGGACCCGATTTGAAGCCATATTTTGCATCAGTCTAATGATTTAATTGATATGTTTAATATTCGAGGAATCACCAACACTTTTATAAGCTTCCCGATAAGTTAAACCTCTTAACTATTTTGGAGAAAATATAGCATAATAGTTATATTTGACAGCTTTAATAATGCGAAATTTCAATAATCCAAAAAGACTGAGGTGCTTGTGATTTTCATTGCCTACCGGGAGGCCGGTTTGGGTTTGCTTTCGCGAGAGTGACGTTTATTGGATCCGTTTCTTTGCACGGGTGTGTTTTTTGTAACCAGCGGTGTGTAAGTGTGCCTGTGATTTCCATTGCCTACCGGGAGGCCAGTTCACCGTGTTCGGATGTCACGCTTTTGGTGTGTAGTTCTATCGAGAGTCTCGTCACCGTGTGCGAGTTTGAACACGGTCCGGTTGGTAAATTAGCCGGGGAAAGTGCTGATAATGTGTCCGCCTCGAATTTTGGTGGCCGACGTTGCCGTGAATCAGCGAGTTTACGGCTTGCAAAAGTGCTCGTCCGCTGGTCTCTCGCCATTGTCGGAGATTGTGAGCAAGCTGAAGGATGCCTCGCTGGATACACCCAAGACTGGACGGTCGGTAGCTGGTGGCCGTGAACGGTTCCTGGGGAAAGCACTAGACGTGAACCTCCTCCCAGATGACCATGGCAATGCAGGAAGTATTACAACAAAGGTAATTGCTATTAGATATTTTTGCAAACAGTGACAGATAGCAGACATGAAGCTCACGTGGAGGTGCCAGGTAAAGGTGTTATATCCTAGACAAATGGTATGTCATAAATTCGCTGTTGTTGTCGTCGTAGGCGCCGGCGTATTTGCCGTCGTAGTCGCTGTCGTAATTGCCGTCGTAGCCGCCGTAGGCAGTACCGTTAGTATATTTAAAACTAATAATCAACCGCTGAAACTATATGAATTATCGCGTATTTCTGTTGTTCATTACATACCTAGTAAAATTCGAGAACGTAATAGCTTGTTTAACCAGGGCTTAAACAATCGTCACGTCGGTCATAGCTTGTTATGATTGCCTGAACAATGCGTAAAGATCAAATCGAAACATTGAATGTCGCGTGAAAGTGGAACTTAACGAAGGCCTAAGTACTCTTTCGTAGCTTTTAGTTTTAGGATTTGAAAGGTTGTAGTGGCTTGCTTACTGAGCAGAAAAACGTGGTCAAGGACCTTTCATATTAAAAATGTATGGTAAGATCGCTTGTTTATCGTGTATTTTGTAAAACTTTTCGTTGTCGTTGGTGCCGCCGGGTTTTAATAGTTCAGGGCTGGTAGTGCTGATACGATATAATAGTAGTGACTTTAGTGACTAAAATTACGGTAATAGTGACCAAATAGTGACTTCTAAATACTTAATAAGTAACCATTTATATGGAAACGGTTTGATATTGAAATAAACTTTTTATGTAATGGAACTTAAAATCAAATTTCATAAATTCCTCTAGTTTAATCGAATCTCACAACGGAATCTACTGTGAAGAGCATTTGAAGAAATTTGAATAATTTACTTTTGCTTACGTTATACATGATGACTAGCAAATAGTAATTCCCATTTTTTATGATCTTGAATTTGATTCTGCGTTCGAAATCTTTAAATAGTTGATATATCTAGGTAGATAACTTTAATAATTTGCTATGAACTTTTCACAGAATATGTTTTCGGAATGATCTCAAGAACTTTATTAGAACAATTCCCCTTCTCTTAAACTTAGAGGCAAATAAACTTTTACAAACATAATATTGCATTCTTGAAATTCTTTGCAGAACAATCAACAAAATTCTTGGAAATAGATTATTTTCGTAGTTGGAAACGCTTAACATCAAATATCAGAACTAAAGTGGACATTTTCTACGTTAGATGAGGAGATGAAAGTAAAGAGTTGATAGTTCCGTACGGCAGTGTGAAATTTGTATATAGAAAGTAAAAAGCGAACAAAGGATAATTTTGAGGAAGGTACGAATAGGGTAGAGCATCTCCTTTACCAAGCTCATTCGTTAATGAGGGATGGTGAGGGGTGTTTCCCCTGCCACCACTGGCAAAAGGGACCTCTGATGTGCGGAAACAGTTCTACTGATTGTTTCACACTTATTTCCTTCACATTGTAAACAACTATCCGATTAGTACCTTCCTCAAAATTGTCCTTTGCTCGCTTTCTACTGTGTATAAACAATTTTCACACTGCCGTACTATTCAAGTCTGATATTTGACGTTAAGCATCTCCGACTATGTAAATCGTTAAATTCACGCATGAAGTAATAACACATGATTAGTAGAAGTAGATTATTCTCGATTTTTTATTGATTCTTTTAGAAACTCCCTGAAGACTCCTTCCATAAATCCATCCTTAGAATTTCCATGCAATTAACCTCAGAAGTTTCATAAATTTCTGCTTAGTTTAATCTTGGACTTCTCCCTTGCATTCAATTGGCAATTCAATTTGTATTCTCCTTAGAATCCCCATAGTATTTCCGCAGAATTCTCAAAACAAAAATCCATCACAAACTTTGAAACTCTTTTCAGAATTCCTTTGAGATTGAACCCTCAAAATTCGAGTCCATTGGAATTCTTTTCAAAATTTATTTCGAACTCTTTAGAATTCTCTTGGAAGTATCGTCAGAAATCACCCCAGAATTCTTTTTCAACTATCCGCAGAGACCATCTTTGGAGTTCACGGGATTTTCATGGAATTTTCATCAGAGCCTCTTAAGCAAAATTTCAGAACTAATGTTGGATTATTATTAGAATTGGACCTAGAATCCTCATCCAATCATCATAGAATTCTTCTCAGAACTCTCGTTAAAACGCACTCTCAATTATATTAAAATTATTTCCGAAATTGTTTCGAAGCTGAATTTTGCGTCTCTAATAATTTAAACAATAATCAAAAGCGACGCTCGTATGTGTTAAGCCAAGTTTAACTATATAGGTAAACCTGGCTTAAAATTTAAGCGGAGATGAAGAAATCGGTTCTCAGCACACTTAATTTTACATGAGACTTTCGTAGTCTGTACTTTGGTATTCTTCTTTGATATATCTTGGTGTCATCCCTAGAATCCTTTAAAATTCTCTTTTAAATCGAAATTGAACGCATTTCCCAATAGTTTTCCTGGTGTTCTAACGTTTTGCGGTTCACTTGTCACCCTGGTTAAAATTTTCAATTTTTTAACAGATATGTATATTTTGTTAAAACTACTGTAGACTTTCTTAGTGCCAAGTACTCAATTTAAACATTTAGTGAAAAAGTGACTTTAGTGACTATTTTTAGGGAAATAGTGACTTTAGTGACTTTTTGGTGTAAAAAGTGACTTTTTAGTGACTGGCTTCAAAATAGTGACCAAGTCACTAAAAAGTGACCTGCCTCCAGCCCTGAGTTATAACAACTTGAGTAACGGTATAATGTGATATGAGGGGCTCGGTGGCCTTAGAGCAACCGTTTTTGCTTACTGAGCAGAACATCATGAGTCTAATCTCAAGTCCATCCACATTCAAGATTCGTCAATCGTTTTATTTGTTGACTTAACTACATGGTAATAACAGCAACTCGATGATTAAAAAGGAGCTCGTCTGCCTAGTGGCAAACGGTTTTTGCTTACTGAGC